AATTAATCAAATTAATTCTTTAGGGTTCCTTAGATCTCATCAATTACCATCTTTACATGTGTTTATTTACCGTATTATTCATCGCATGAATCACAAGCATAAATAAACATAACATACATCTAATGCATGCATATGGTGGGATGATCATGTCCTTGCCTATACGACCCATTCGAGCCAAAATGGGTCTATGCCTATGTACGTGATAAAATAAATAGAATTACTTCTATTACAATTTATTTTATCTACCCGTACAAGCACAGGCCTTCGAGATTTACAACTTGTAAAATTACCCACACAGACGTGGGCCTTTTGCATCGAACGGTCTCCACCTTGATCTTAACTTTTAACGATACAAAAACTTAAAATTTTACAAATCATAATTCAAGAGACTCGCAGGTCTCGATAAATTACATCAGTTCAATCACATTGAATAATGCAATCATTCATCCATATTGAATAAAACATTCAAACATTCAATCATATTGAAAAATGCAACATTCAATCATGTTGAATAAAAGGCTCATGATCATCCCTAAGTTAAACCATTCATCACATGAATTAAAACATAAAAGGCTCATTCCACCTGACACGGCCCGTGTCAGAGGTCGTGTCAAAATGCCGAGAGCAACTTTGAACAGCATTTTTAGTCACTCCACCTGACACGCCCGTGTCAGAGGTCGTGTCAGCTCTCGGGCTTCTTAAAAAAAAAAAATTTAATAATTAATATGTTTATCACATAAACATTTAATTATCTTGTTTATTACATAAACATTATAATTATCTTGTTTATCACATAAACATTATAATTATCTTGTTTATCATATAAACATTATCAAATCAAAATCTGTTTTTAAAGATGATAATCGTGGCTCTGATACCACTGTTGGGTTCGCCTGTACCGTATAGGTTATACACAGCGAAAAAATCATGTTCCAAAAACAAGTATTTATCCCATAAATACTCAACTCATACGTACATATAGCGAATGCACAAATCGTCATCATTTAAAAACATATAATAATACAAATTATGATTTGTAGTAAATAATTTCAAAATTACCTTTGTTCTTGAACTCCTTCAAAACCGACGATGTATGAGGAAATCAATTCCCGGTTTGGTAACAATCACTTCTTGTGGTTACTCACTTTAGGAATCCAAATGTCTTCCCTCTAATCGTATCCACCTTTTGAACTTTGGTTACGACTATAGTTTCTTCGCTAGTAGAAACTACTCGGTTTTTCAATAAGTATAGAATATATATATATTTATAAGGAAATTTTACAAGAACTCTTTCTTGTTTTATCACTCAACTATTTGGATGATTTTTCTCTTTGGAAGAACTTAGAAAAAACGTAGCAATTTATGTGCAAACATTTTGCACCTATTTATACTAAATATTTTAGCATAAAATAATCAATATCTGATATTTATTTAATTTTAAATAAAATCAGATTTTATTTAAAAATTCATATCAAATATTGACTTTTAATTAATAATGTGGAGTGGTTTATAACCACCATCAACCACCATTATTTTGTCTCTCAATTATTTGAATCTTTAATCATATTAAAGATAAAATAATAAAATTATAATTCCTGAAAATATTTTTCAAGACTTTATTATTTTAATATTTTCTTCCAATTTCCTTATTTAATAATCATATTATTATTTGGATTTGAAATTTAAAATTCAATTTTAAATTCTAACTATAGCGAGGTAGCTTTACCGGGAGAGGTACTACTAAATTAATATCCAAAATTCAATTAATCAATCCAATTGATTAATTTAATATATTCCTTTAATTGACATCTAACCAAATTATATTTGTCAATTAATTCTAACTCTTTAGAATTACTATTTGAATTTTACCATCATTCAAAAATTGGTGTGACCTTTTAGGTTCACAATTAATACTAGTAGTGGGTTTACAACTCTTTGTAATTTGAGTTATTGATATTAACTCTTATTCTTGAATTAACTCTTTAATTCAAGAACCCACATATCATGGGAACATCTAGCAAGTAGCATGAATCTAGTATTAAGTGAATAGCGAGTAAACCTATTTCGATTACAAGTCCATACATGTAAAATCCTTTCGACATCCAATTTCCCGATTAAATCTTTGGGTATGATTTTGTCGAAACCCAAATTGATTTAATAACTATGATTCCATTTCAAGTTTAGTAATTCGTTTATGAATCTCTATTCATCCCGCCTTGGCCAAGGACTTTGAATTACTAACTATGAAACACATAGAAATTCACTTATCTTCATAAGTGTCGAATCCTTTGTTGGCCACTAACAAACTTCCATACATATTAATATAATACCCAAAATATCCCTTTATACGATTGTGCTAGCAATCAAAAGGATAAATCAAAGTAAAATATAATATGCACAAAGTTATCATTGTGCCTCAAGTCTAAGGATTAGTCATGTACTATTGTAACATGAAAATTCTTATTCGACATTTAAACTTTCATTAAGAATTTTCATACGGTCATGTTCAGTGAACTTGTTCTCTAACAAGCACCCACATATATGTATTTGCGTCTCACGCTAATGTTGATGGAATGCAACATTCTTATCTAATAAGCATACATACTATGTGCAAGTCTTTTCTGGATTTATTCGATATCCCATCTCGAAACATCCAACGACTTGGAACTGTATTTAAGATCACAGCTTTCAAGATATGTTCCATGATCACCATCTCTATGCGCAACCATATCTTATAGCTATAAGTGATCTAAGGACTTTATCTTAAGTGCAAATATATGATAAATGTTTACTCTTAAAATAATGTAATGCCTATTATTCAATATAATTCCAATAGATTGTATTTACAAGTAGAATACGTCCAATCAGATTGGAACGTTGGGTATACTACTCTAACACCACAATGTCAGCCAAGTTAAAGAATCTAAGTTTTTATTTTTTTATTTGTTATTTTATTTCTTCTCAAATGTTAGTTCAAAGCATATTTTGATGTTAATTTGATACATCAGTCTCCATCACAGATTCAGGTTGTTAAAAAACAAAAAAAAAAAAATACTACTCTCAGTTAGTATTCATTTTTTCATCTTTCATAAGCTGATTATGAATTGGTTTAAATAAATTGATTTTTGTATCATAGATATAGCTGAAAACAAAGAACTTATCTTGAATATATGTCTTAGATTTATGTGGCCCTTGAATATGTGTTTTATCTTTATGTGGCACTCGAATATGTGTCTTGAGTTGTCCAAAACTGATTTGTCATATGACTTTAGTTGTCCAAAACTGAGTTGTCTAAAATTCTTGCTGGTATAAGATACATGAGTTGTCCAAAACAGAGTTGTCATTTGCACACAACATATTAATCTATATTTTCATGTTGTGTATTAATTTGTAGTTCAATGCACATAACATATTAAACTAGAAGATAGATGATTAGCATAATCCGCCTTCCTGCTTCATTAGAAGTGACAGTAGTAATGGAGGAGCTCTTTCATGTTGGGTATTAATTTGTAGTATGTGTGAATCTACTTCAATGCACATAACATACTAAAGTAGAACATATAAAAGTAGTATGCACATAACATATTAAATTAGATTTCACACCATTTTTGTTGTTTAGTATTTTAATGTTTGTATAGGCCAACATTATATTCATTGAATAGGTAAAGTCCGTATGTTGTTCAATCTTTGTAGATGGATAACGTGCAAGACAAATTACTAATTCTGACTCTTTTGGAAGAGATTGTTCTTGGTGCTCGATTTTTTTTTCATAGTAGCTAGTTACTACTACCACAAATTCATACTCCCTCGCCGTCGTCGACCTTCGTTGACTAGCAGAATCACATACCGATTGAGGGATAGAGTGCCCCTTCAAGTCAATCATATGCAGAGGCTAGTCGACGTTAGCGACACCACTTGCCTTGAGAACCTCCGTATGGACAGAAACTGTTTTGGTCGTCTTTGTTTTCTCCTTTAAAATTTAGGGGGTCTTGTTCAATCTAGGAACGTTGCACCGAGTGAACAAGTTGCTATGTTTCTTTCAATCCTGGCACATCACAAGAAAAACGTCACCTTGAAGTTCGATTTTACGAGATCAGGTAGAACCGTAAGCAAGTACTTTAACCGTGTACTTGATGCGGTAATTCGCCTTCACACCGTCCTAGTCGCCACACCTAAGCCAATTGAGGATGATTGTTCAGATGCACGGTGGAAATGGTTCAAGGTAGCCTACAACACAACACCCTTACCAACACTTATGTCAATTTTTTTTTTCTTTTCTACTCCCTCCAAACTAATATATAATTTTTTTTTTCATTAGGGGTGTCTAGGAGCACTAGATGGTACATACATTAACGTGCGAGTCCCATCAAAAGATAGGGGAAGATATAGGAATCGAAAGGGTCAAGTGTCAGTTAATGTACTTGGGGTGTGCGATAGAAATATGAACTTCGTCTACATGCTTTGTGGATGGGAGGGGTCTGCTGCTGATAATCGAGTACTAAGAGATGCCATCACTAGGGAAAATTCACTTCGAGTCCCAAACGGTATTCCCTTTATTTTTTAGAATAAATAGTTTAAATAACACCCACCCTTAAGACACTCAATCAAACATAACACAATCGTTTATAATGCAGGACAATATTATTTGGTGGATGGTGGTTACACTAATGGTTCTGGCTTTCTATTGCCATATAGGGGTGTCAGATATCACTTAGATGAATGGGGTACAGGGTCCCGTACTCCACAAAACTTTAGAGAACTTTACAACCTTCGGCACGCCAAAGCTAGGAACGCGATTGAACGTGCTTTTGGCATTCTTAAAATGCGTTGGGCAATTCTTAGGAGTAACTCTTTTTATCCCATTAGGACCCAAAATCGCATTATCATGGCGTGCGCGCTTATTCATAATTTTATACGTACAACAATGCCCGAAGACCCCATCGAGAACGAGATTCCAGATTTTCCGATACCTTCCAACCCACCGTCTGACGACGACTACATAGATCAAGTTGAAAGTAGTCCCGAATGGACCCAGAAGCGCGATCTCCTAGCCCAACAAATGTTCACAGACTGGCAGGGCGGTGTTCCCTAATAGATAAACAAACTTATCTTTGTGTACTTTCATAAGACTCTGTTAGTTACTAAGTATGTGTGACAAATGTTTTTAAATTATCTTTTGTTGTTTATTATACAATATTAATTTTGTTGAATATGTTGTTATGGTGATTATTGACATTAAATAATGTTGTGTTTTGTGTATTTCCTGTATATTTTCTTGTGTAGTATATCATTTTGTTTGACGACATTTTTTTAAATACTTTTATTTGGAAATTCTCTATTAACCCAAAATAAAAATAATAAAAATCATTGCTACAACATTATTGTTCCTACAACAAAATTGTCATGGAACCATCAATGACATCGGGTACCGGAAAAGAGGGCGGCGCCACCTCTAAATGCCGTGTGTGGACATCGGCTGAAGAGAATGCCCTAATTAATGCTCTAAAGGATATTGTAACCGAGGGGTGGAAAATGGAAAACGGCTTCAGAACGGGCTATGCATTTCAGTTGGAGAAAAAAATGAAGATATATATTTCCAGATGTGAAATTCGTGCTGACCCGCACATAACTTCCAAAATGCATGTTTGGAAGAAAACATATGCGAGTTTGGCCAATATAAAATCAAATAAATCGGGACTGGGATGGAATGATGTTTCAAAAAGCTTCTCCTGTGATGATGATAAGTACTAATCGTTGATGAAGGTTTGCTTCAAATTCCAACTCTTGAGTCGTAAATATATTTTACATAATTTACATATTATCATTACTTTTTTTTTTTTGCGTCCCAACCTATTGCCAATAGGTTGATCCTAATGCGAAGGGACTGAGGAACAAGTCTTTCCCCCACTACGATGATTGGGAGGTCATCTTCGGGAAAGACAGAGCATGTGGTGGTGATGCCCAGTCTTTCGCAGACGCGGCGCAGAATGTACAGCAGGACCCGCCGTACGAAGAATACGATGATGTATAGGTATGAATGGTGAATTAAATTTACTTTCAGTTATTTTATCTCTTTATTCATATGATATCACTTACTAAACATTTAAAAATCAAATATATTTTAGAAATTCTGTTACCATATATATAATGCATACTTGAAAATCTCATGTAAAAATAAACATTTAAAAATCAAATATAATATAAAAACTTTCAGAAATTATGTTACCATATATATAATGCACACTTGAAAATCTCATGAACAATACCCCACGATTTATGGCTAATGTTTTTCTTAAAAAAAAGTTACCATAAATAGAATGTAATTAATGATAGAAGTGTTTGACCAAGATTTGACTTACTATTCTTGAAAAATGGTAATTCTTTTTAGATATATATAAATAAATAAATTTAAATATAGATATAAACGACCTACTATAAAACAATAAAGAACTACTTTTATTATAATTATGAGTAAAATTATTTATAAAAAATAAATCGTCTAGACCCCTTTTAAACAACTGCCAAAATCCACAAAAATAAGTCGGCGATTCATGGTCTTCAAGTTAACAATGTCTGGACTTTGGATGAAGCAACTCTTAGAGATCATGCCATAGCTCATTTTGAGAGTCGATTTTCGGACACTCCCATTACACCCATTGGTTGTGAATTCACGGAGCCTCTTGCTCCTCCAGTCCCTGACATAGCACTGACGGTCACTCAGATAGTTTCCAACTTGGAAATTAAACAGGCGATCGATTCGTGCCCTTCTTACTCGGCCCCGGGACCTGATGGCTTTCCAGCGGCGTTTTACAAGAAATTCTGGCATCTCATTGGTCAGGACATTTGCGAATTTATTCGCAATATCTTCGCGAATAGGCGCTTTACATCTAGTCTCGGTTTC